GGCACAGTATTTCTAGTCTGACCAGCTGCATTCATGTTTTCTTTTTTCTTTATCTATTTTTCTCTTTGCTGAACCCTCACAGCTCCTGCTCTCTATAGCATGAACCTGTGTTAGTGACTGCAAACAAATGCTATATAGTTTTATTTGATCATAAATACTAGTTTTTCCATATTAGCCAAGATTTACTTAAGGTCTCTTTGTAGATTATATAGGTTAATTTACATTTATGTATTTTACTAAAGAATCCATTTGTAATACAGACATAGATTACAGAGCAATATTAAAGTATATTATACAAAGAGAATATACGTATATCTTCCGTCTTCAATGAAATCTTTTTCCCTCTATTCTCTATTCTGGTGTTTTTCTACTGCTCTTCAGTCTCTCTGGTTGTCCCCTTGCTGATAAAAGTCTTCGGACCCTCATGGCTGCCCACAGTGCTGAACTCAAGTATGTCTGTGCTCTAATTTTTCCTCTAATGAATCTTCACCATACTTTACTGATTACTGCTTTTTTTGATTCTACTAAACACTTCTGTTTCTGCCACACACTGTTTACTGTCCCCTTTGCTGGCTATTCTTGCACTCTTTGAACCAGCATTAACTTTACATTTTCAGTGGTCAAAAACAGAATTTGCTTGGACTGTGTCCTAGAGACGCATCAACTCAACTGAGACTATTTAGCATCCAGGCTGAAGCCCAAATGTTCATTTAGATGATTGTATGTCTGATATTTGAATTGCATCTATCTAAAGCAGTGCTGTTTATGCTAATGTATTTCACTTTCTCTTGGCGACCTCCAGATGTCCTACTCCAGGTTGTGATGGATCAGGACACATCACTGGAAACTATGCTTCCCATAGAAGGTGTGTTAATTAACAATATTACAACATGCACTTTTGGATTCACTGTCAAGCTTTAAAAACATCAAACTGCACATGTAGAAACATTATAACATTTAAATTTTTTCTGTTGAAGTCTGTCTGGATGTCCACGTGCCAAGAAGGGAGGAATCAAAATCACCCCAACAAAGGATGACAAGGAAGATTCGGAGCTCCTTAGGTATGTTTTTTTTTTTTATGAAAAAATCACAACTTAGTTTGTTGTACTAAACCAGTGGATTTGCTGAGCACAGCCCGTATTATTTGAGAAACATCACTTGCCTCTCTATAGGTGCCCGGTGCCAGGTTGCGACAGTCTGGGGCATATCAGTGGGAAATACGCCACCCACCGCAGTGCCTATGGGTGCCCGCTGGCAGCACGCCGCCAGAAGGAGGGCATGTTAAATGGCACACCATTCTCCTGGAAGGCCTTCAAGGCTGAGGGCCCGACCTGCCCCACGCCAGGATGTGATGGATCAGGGCATGCCAACGGCAGCTTTCTCACTCATCGCAGGTACAGATGAGGCCTAGTGAAATTTACAGATCAATATTAGCATAACCAGTATTAGTTCATATATAGGACAAGCTGAGTGAATGTTTCCATACAGAGATTGTATATGTTTCTATAATAGAAATATAACTAAAACAATTGAACCGTTTGTAAATGGCATACTAATATGTTTTGATATATTAGAAATGCCTATTTTTGACTTCCTGGGGTTATTGAAGGACGATGTAATCAAGACAATAAGTCTTGTTTCATATCTCATGATCTTGATGTGTTTGCAGTCTATCAGGTTGCCCTAGAGCTTCAGCTAACAAGAAGAGAGCCAGGTTCCCTGGAGATGACTACATCAGCAAGAAATTCAGGGCAAGTGATGGTAAGATCAAATATCATCTGCTTCTCTTCTTTCGTCCCCAGTGTGTTCATTTTGCGCTCTTTATTAACATACGCATTGCTTTTCTATCCCTTCAGTTCTTGACAATGATGAAGACATTAAGCAGCTGAACAAAGAGATTAATGAGCTGAATGAGTCAAACTCTGAAATGGAAGCAGATATGGCCAACCTCCATACACAGGTCTACATTTAGCAAATACATATATACACTACTATTCTATTTTACTGTTTTCTATTTTAATATATAATAAAACGTAACTTATTGCTGTGATTGCAAAGAATTTTCTGCCATTTTTTATTTTATTTTAGCCATTACTCCAGTCCTCGGTGTGATATTTTTGTGAAAACGTGATAGATTTTTGATGAATAGAAAGTTCAAAAGAACAGCATTTAAAATATAATTAAAAAAAGTCAAATCTTTATTGTCATTTTCTTTTCAGTTATTACATCCTTGCTGAACAAAATATAAATTTCTTTCAAAATAGAAATTATTACTGACCCCAAACTTTTGAACAGTATTGAGCATGTCCCAGAAACTCTAATAAAGACACATGTCTTTATGAATACGGTTTTAATGTAATCTGAGCATATAGCATTTGGCCCTTCACTGATAACCACATGTAAAGGCTAGACAAACAAGCATTTTTGAGACCTTTTAAGGATAAATACTCTTGTTGTTCATCACTGAAAATTCCATAATTGAAAGTAGGATTTTTGGGGACTTCTTTCCATAAGCTACATTCTTTGAGAGCGCAGTATAATGATAATATTTACAATACATCAAATACAATATTAGAAAGCATGATCTTGGAGCTGCTGTTTATCCATGCATTTCTATTCTTAGATCTCATCCATGGAGAAGAACCTCAAGAGCATGGAGGAAGAGAATAAGCTCATAGAGGAGAAGAATGAGGCTCTGTTCATGGAACTGTCAGGCCTGAGCCAGACTCTTATCCGCAGCCTTGCCAACATCCGTCTACCACAGATGGTCAGTCTACTTGCTACCTTTTATGACTATGCCCATCAAACACAAGTAGTGTACATTATACTTTTCCTTCCCTTTTTCTAGCTTGCTTTTAACAAACCACAATCTTTTGTTTACCACAGCAAGAGCCCATCACTGAGCAGAATTTTGACACATACGTGGATACGCTGACCCACATGTTCACAGATAAGGAGTGCTATCAGAACCCAGAGAACCGAGCCCTACTCGAGTCCATCAACCAGGCCGTCAAAGGCATTGAGGTGTGAGCAGAGGAGTGGCAGCTGTAAGACACTGTGGGTTGAATAACCAGACCAACAACATAAAAATACTGTTTAAGGACATTCAGGTTTTGTATGTGGCGCCCTCTGAAAACGAGGAACGTCACAAGACCCGCGGAAGTCAAGAGAAAAGGACCAAATTCCAAATTATGCTGCTTAGCAATTTTGATGAGATACAAGATCCTTTGCCTCTTAAACCAAGATGGCTCTTCTTCTTTTGGGGTACTTTTTGGAGCAAACCATTTGTTACTGTTTTCTAGAGCAACTCTCACCGACACTGATCTGCCTTTCTTACTTCCCTCAGTGCATGGAGGTTGCTGTGAACAATAAGTCGTGAGATTGTCGTGTGTCTGTGGGGGTGAGTCTATGTGTGTATGTGTAACAGAGTGCTTTATGTGTAACGTCCGAAGGTGAATTCACGATTAATGACCTCCCTCGACAAAATAAGATTAGTATGCAGCACTGCTACATTTGATCCCTGTATGATAATGTTGTCTCATATTTGGTGTAAATGGGCTCATGTTCCATTCAGTAATATTTATCGTATTTGAGAACATAGATATTGCACTTCCATGAATAGTTTGTAGTTCCATTGTCATGTTATTATTGTAATTATTATTATTATTATGGCTATTTAAATTGGGTCCTTGAAATGTAAGTTTAATTTATTATTTATTCATGTTAAGGTTTATTTTGTTTATTTATTAATCAGTGTCTATTTATGGACTTAATTTATTTTACAAAGCAAAATTCTATACACAGCTTTTAGCAGTTAAGAGGAGAGACGTTGCCCTCTGAGCTGTGAAAGAGGCAATATTTTAAGAATATCGACAGCAAATTGTTTTATAAACCTTCCTATTTATTTTAAAGACAGAGATTTATAATCTCTTTTTTAAGTGCAAATATTTTCTACCTAACAATTTTTATATTGTTTTTTAATATTCTCATTTATTTAATGAGTTCTGTTTTCCATAAAAGTATTTTGACACCCTCCAGAGTGAAGTGGGTTGAACAGATATGATGTATTTATTGTTATTTATTTAGTATTTAAGAACAAATTGAATGGAGATCTTGTTGGATATTTATTTTGTAAATGTCTCTGTGTTAGTGGTTGCTGCATATGGATAGTCTTTGCCCATGTTGTTGATAAAATAAATGGGAATTCTATCACCTACAACAGAGAGTATGTCATATTTAACACTGATCGTTTCTCTTGATTTATTATAACCAGGATTGTGTTTGCCTTTGGTCCAACAATGATATTTTGTAAGATACTGATCAGTCCAATTAACTTTGAATTATCTGACATTTATCAGACCGAAGATGAAAGAGAAACCAAACACTCTCTCAGTAGGATACGTGGCTGACATCTGCTGGATAGACATTGATTCAGTCACGATTTCTCTTCAGCTGATAATGGCTACATAAAAAATATAACTTGCAAACATAAAGGATGTCTTTGTATTTTGACTAGATTAATATTTAGCCCAATATTTAAAAAAAATATTGATGATACTCAAGGCAAATATTAAACAACAACAACATTTTGAATGTGTATAGCTCCGTTCATTTAAAATGTACAACTTTTATAAGAGACCAGAGCTAGTTGTCCCGTTGTCACGTATATGTTGCGGTTTAATGGCAGGCTACTTTGTGACAACTTACCCCATATGTTGTGACAAAATGCCCTGCTACTGGTCGACAATCTTTTCTCCTGTGCAGTGACGGTGTAAATGCTATTATATTGGCACAGGCATTAAATATAATTGGCTTTATGTGGCCAGAAATGAAAGAGAAAATAAAACTACTGAGAATTTAAAAAGTGTAAAAAAAGAAAAACTAAATTATTGTCAAATAATCCTGTTTTATCCAATCCTTATCAAGACCAGAGACTATTGTGTTTATGGATATGTCATAAAACAATGTAGTGCAGGACCCATGTGCTCTATGGCCCATATTTCTGTTTGTGGGCTTGACGTCACGGAGTCAGCTGGCCAATGTTTACATCCAGCGCAGCTCGCAGTGAACGTCTATGTGGAGAAACCGAGACATAGAAACAACAGGAGACTATTAACTTGAATTAACTCGAATGGACATCATCACCGGACCATAGATACGTGTCTCAGTGTCAGACGCGGTTCAGCTCGGTCGACTGTAAAGTCGTCGGGGTGTTTCCCGTGACGAGTTTCTCCCCAAAATCCAGTCCATCCCCATTTCTCCTTTCCTTTGTCTTCATTTTTGCCTACTTTTTGCAGGTAAGCGCATTATATGAGTCGTGCTCGCTGTTGTAGTGTGTTTCTGGTGTGATAATAGAATGATAAACTCTTAGTATATTTTCATTGAGCATATAACCTGTAGTCTCGCAGGCAGAATGAACGGCAGGTTGTGATTAAAAATAATGGGCATATGTGTGTTATTTCATATTTAACTCTATTTTGAGAAACTACCCGGATGTTCATCAAAAACACAGCACAATATGCGTTTGTTAGCGAATGGCGCAGCTGCATTTGAGCGCGCGGTGATTGGTGGAAACCTTCCTCACATCTGCAGTTTCTACACAGCGTCTCTGGGGAAGCTTTAACTTTCCGGCAGTGAGTGTAGCCCAGCGCCCTCATCTGTTAACTGGACAAAAATGCTGTTTTGTTGGGTCCGAGTCCGAACCGTGTACAGTGGCCTCAATAATGATTTGGACACCTAACGTAATATGAGTGGCATTAGATTACATAACAAAATAGGTAGGGCTAATAGAGTGGCATTTATTTTGAAGAAATGCAACACAAACAATCTTAAGCAAAAAGTTATTAAGAATTTTTAAACTTGTGAATAGTGTTGTTCAGAATGATTACCAAATGTATTTAGGAAATGTTTGTTTGTCGAACAATAGTGAAAGCCATTGCCCAGATAGTATTTCATCTTGTAAAACAGTGATTCTTCTCAACAATGGGTCACAATCCAAATTGTTGTCTTTTCTGTTTGCGGATGGCTGGGATAAAAACAATGCAAAATGCAACTAATAATATAACAAACTAACCGTAACCTTAATAGGTATTGTGTCTAACCACATTGTGTCAACCAATTTGTTTTATGCGGTCAATTATTGGCTGCCAACAGAATGGTAACATCAAAATCCAAGAGATATTTAACTAAAATTACACTGGGGTCATTGGGATTTTTAATAAAGATTTTTATTCAGTTAAGGTGCATTAAATTGTTCACAAGGTACAGTGAAGTCATTTATAATGTTATAAAATATTCCTATTTCAAATAAATGCTGTTCTTTTGAAATTTTTGTTTAAAAAATAACAGGCACAGCTGTTTTCAACATTGATAATAATAAGAAATGTTTCCTGAGCACCAAATCAGCATATTAGAATGATTTCTGAAGAATGAATGAAACACTGAAGACTGGAGTAATGGCTGCTGTATATTTTGTGATCAAATAAATGCAGCCTTGGTGAGCATAAGATATTTCTTTCGAAAACACTCATTTTTCATTTTTAAACGGTAGTGGAATAACTAAAATTGTACATTTTTTAAATAATGTCATGTTAATTATTTTGCATATTACTGGGTCTGTGTTGATTTCATTAATATATGGTTACACTTTATTTTAAGGTGTCCGTGTTACAGTATTTAAGTACTGAAAAATATTTATTAACTACATGTACTTACTATAGGTTTAGGATAAGGGTTTGGTTTATAGCTGCATGTAATTATGCATAATTTTACTACAGTAACTACATGTAACATGGAATAAGGACAGTGTAAAATAGTGTTACCTAATATATTTCAGTGTTTGTTTTTAAGGACATTTTTGTTTACTTTTGTGTGTTAATCATTTGTGGTACTGTGCTGGAGCACCACTGTCCTCAAGCCAAACCAGTTGTGAATCACTGTAATAGACTTATGGAAGAAACAGAGGAAAGTGGTTGTTGATCAATTAATCTTTTTTTTTTTAATCAACAGGAAGTATGTTTCTTGTGTTTCTTGTGTAACCTTCTTCGGTTATGCTTACATGTCTTTAATTTTCTTCTTGTCTGTTTAGCCCCAAACAAAGAGCCAACATGGGAGGTGCGGTCAGTGCTGGGGAGGACAATGACGAGTTGATTGACAACCTGAAAGAAGCCCAATACATTCGCTCTGATCTGGTCGAACATGCCTTCAGAGCCATTGATCGTGCTGACTACTATCTGGAAGAATTCCGCGACAGTGCCTACAAGGATTTGGCCTGGAGACACGGCAACATCCACCTTTCTGCACCCTGTATCTACTCTGAGGTGATGGAGGCTTTATACCTGCAGCCTGGCCTGTCTTTTTTAAACCTAGGCAGTGGCACAGGCTACCTCAGCACCATGGTGGGACTTATACTGGGTAGGTTAATAGAGAATTTGACTGATTTGATTTTGTTCTGCTTATTTTCGCTGATTCGAAGGGAAAGTCCACCCAAAAAATGAAAATACTGTCATCATTTACTCATCCTCGTGTCGTTCCAAACCTGGATGACTTTCTTTCTTCTGGGTAGCACGAAAGAAGATAGTTTCGCTTCCCATTGACTTCCACTGTATTTTTTGTCCACACAAGGGAAGTCAATGGTAAGCAAAAAGGTTTGGTTTCTAACATTCTTCAAAATATTTATTTTGTGTTCCAGGAAAAGCAATAAAGTCATACAGGTTTGAAACAACATGAGGGTGAGTAAATGATGGCAAATTTTCATTTTTGAGTGGATTATCCACCCAAAAGTACATTTTCTGCTAAATATAATACCTGTTATGTGATCACTGACATTCTGTGTCATATATTTAGGGCCATTTGGTGTGAATCATGGAGTTGAATTGCATGAAGATGTTATAGAATATGCTTATCAGAAGCTGGACTTCTTCATCAAGACGAATGAAAGTTTTGACAGGTGCAGTAACTTTTGGGTTTTCACTTTTGTATTAAAAATAAACTGTATTCCCTTGTTGAAAGTCTAGCGTGCAAAATGATGGATTGGTGACTGACGTGTCTAATCTTTTGGTCTAGGTTTGAGTTCTGTGAGCCCTCCTTTGTAGTGGGCAACTGTCTGGAAATTGCTCCAGAAAGTAGGCAGTATGACAGAGTTTATTGTGGTGCAGGGGTCCAGAGGGAACATGAAGACTACATGAAGAAGTTGTTGAAGGTCGGGGGAATCTTAGTACTGCCACTGGAAGAAAAGGTGAATAATGCAATCTTACAATGCATCTGGTCTCAGGTAATCCAGGAGATACATGTGTGAAATGTATATGCATTTCTCATTTGTTCTAGCTCACTAAAATAACTCGGACAGGATATAACACATGGGAAACAAGAAAGATAATTGCTGTGTCCTTCGCACCACTTGTGCTCCCTAAACATAGGGAAAATGGCAAACCAAGAGCAGTGTCCCTACGTAAGTAACCTGCTGTATTTTGTGCACACTTAAATTGTTCTGATTTAAACAATATTAGATTTTTTAGCCTAATAATTGTTTTTTTTTGCACACTATTAGAAATACTTCAATTCAGCAAGGATGCATTAAATTGATCAAAAGTGACAGTAAAAAAGATATATTTCATGTAAATGCTATTCTTTTGAACTTTCTATTCATCAAAGTATACTGAAAAAATGTTTCACTATTTCCACAAAAATACAACTGTTTTCAACATGATTTCTGATGGATCATGTGACACTGAAGAATGACTGGAGTAATGGCTGCTGAAAATTCAGCTGTCACCACAGCAATAAATTACATTTTAAAATATATTAACATAGAATACAGTTATTTTAAATTGTTATAATATTTCACAATATTAATGTTTTCACTTTTAATCAAATAATGCAGCCTTGGTGAGCATGAGAGACTTATTTTTAAAAACATTAAAAAAAATTAACGTTAGTGTATTTAGAGTAAGAATTGTGTGTGTGTATAAATTCAGTAAAAAAATAAATAAAATAAAACGCAGCTGCCATGTTCGAGGTGCGAAGTCTTCAGGATTTGGCCCGCATCACCATCCGTCACATTCTAAAGAGATCTGGGTCTGGATCCTTGCCACTACCCCAGAGAACTGGATTGAAGCGAAGAAATCACTTTAAACAGAAACGTGAGCACCGTGACACCCCTCTTCTGACCAATAGTTATTTGTTCATGAGTCGCTTAATTCCCGGGCCCATGGACAACAACAACAACCAGTCATCCACAGACAATGAGGATGAAGATGAAGACTGCAGTAGGGTTTGTGAGCAACTAGAGGATAAAGAAGAGAATGAGAGGAGGAAGGAGGGCAGTGTTTTGGTGATAGAGACTCCAGTAAACCTCTTAAGGGAGAGGATCCTCAGCCTGCCTTTGCCAGAGCCTCTCAAGATGTATCTTCTTCATTACAGAGAGAAGTAGACCTCTGCTTTCAGTGCATAGTCTGTAATAGACTACTCACAGCTACCTATCACTGTTACTTTAAGAGTCCATGGCTCTTTAGTTACTCACTTTCACATTATCCTGGCGATCTTTCTCATAGAATTGCACCACTCTTTTTTTCTGCCAAGTTAGTTGAGGGGAAACTATGAGGGGAAATGAAGTCTCATTTGGATCCACCAAAGTTTAAAGTCTGGATTCATGGTCTACGATGCTAACCATCAACATGGAAACAAGAAACAGAGTGAAAATTAATTGATTAATCTAAGTTTCATGTAATTTGTGGAGTGACTTTTTCAAATGAAGACAAGACCAGTGGCTAACAATTTACTAAATCATAAATGCAGTGTAGTCTCACTTGTTTTGTGTGTGTTATATACCATCTAGTTTCAGTTCTTAGATTTACTATGAAAAGTGAAAATCTAAATATTCTGGTGTATGGATTTGTTACAAATGTCTAATTGTGTGAAGATACAAAGGCACGTTTAAAAAATGTGATTGTCCAACAATCTCTGTAGTAAAGTTTTTGGAAATTTCAAGATAAAAGACTTTGATTTTCTAAGGTGTTTTGCCAATTTAAAACTGTCTTGGGTTTGTACTGTTTTCAGGGCTTGTGCTTGCATTTTTGCTTTTTAAATGTATAAAAGGTCTATAGTTGTGTAATCAGTTATAATATATATATTTTAATTTAATTATAAATTGCTCTGATGTGCACTGTCAAGCGATTTTTAAATTGACCTTTTATATTGTCTTTATCATGGCCCAAAACATTTCACCTTAGAAATATCAGATTTTTTTTTTAAAGGCTAAAGTATGGAATGTGAGCTATAATCCATCATCATGCAAATGAAATGTAGCAAAGACTAGAGGGTCCAAGTTGTTTTGACGTATGAATCAGTTTCCAAACTAGTTTGGAGAACACAAAAACCAAAGCATTATGTTTGTATTCCGATACATACATACGAACTAGATCTAGTTGTCTCTGCAACCATTTAATGTAAAATTTAAATCTAAACTTCTTAACATTGGGCTCACATGCAAGACAGATTAAATGAATAAATGCATCATTTAGATTTCTAAAAATGTGGATCATATTGTTTTGCATTATATGAGGACAGGAGACAAATATTTCCTAAATGGGTAACATTAAAAGAAATATCTGCACAAGCTGTGGAAATGCATACCATGATATTCTTTGATACCACCAACACAACTTTGGCCCACCTTACCCTCAATTAAAGAAGTTCAAATAGAGAGAATACGCTCACTTTCAGCTTTATTAGATTTGAATACTGTGCTTAACCGCCAAGTACAGACTGGACTTCACTTTGGATAAGAAAATAAAAATGGAAACAAAAAGAAGAGTGAAAGCACTTACAAAATAACAAAAATGTATTTTCTTGTTTAATGATTAAAAAAATATTTCTTTGCAAGACATTACACAAAATTCTCATAAAGCTCTCTTCACAGAGAGGCATCAAGAGAAGAAAACAAAAAGGAACGCCACCATTTTCACACTGAACTGATGACTGGTGTCAAGTAGATGAGGTAAATGTTTTGTTGGAGAAAAAAAAGGCACAATTTACAATCGACCGTGCCATGTAAATTCACGTAATAATACCAATAATAATAACAATATCATTATTATTGTAATAATAACACCATCATAACAGCAATAGAAAAAATATGCAACAAAAATACAGACTGAATTTTATCTTACAAGTAATCTTCCAGCCCTACTGTATTGCCTGGCCCAGCAACAAAAAATCTGGCCCGTTTAAATACTGCAGTGTCCTCATTCTTTGCTCACAAGAGTCCAAGATTTCCAGTGGTATTCAACCACTGGCAAGGGGCTAGAATTGTCTGAAGTGATCAAAGTATTTGCTCTGACCAGTCGACTCAGTTTTGAGGAGCTGCAGCAAACTATCTGACAACCAGACATGACACACACAGTTTTGAGGGGCCAATGCAATCGTCATGGCAGAAAGCGCCACAGCCCTGGCACATGATCATAGCCTTAAGTCTGCAGGAACACTTGAGAGCCACTTCTTCTGCAGCACTGTCCGCAAATGCCTGAATGCTAAGCGTGGCGCTCTGGCCTCCACCGCTGCTGACGCTCACACGTGGCCTTATCTGCAGCACACCATCGGCTAAACTGCGGGAGAAGCCGCTACCATCCACCACAGACACATTAGCTGTGTAACTGAAGCTGGATGAGGAACCTCCGTTGCCCCCACTCTGCTGGAGTTTTGGTAGCTTGCTATATAACTGGTAAGGGAGACTGGAGGCAGATGAGGAAGGAGAGGAGGAGACAGGGGAAGCAGAGGTGTCTGCTTGACGGGCATATGGATTTCTGACTTGTTCCTTTTTAGCCATTCTGACAAGAGACATTTCCATATTTAGCAGTCCTTCCATAGCTCCACCACCTCCATGAAAACTGTCCAGAGGCTCCTTTTTGGTTATTACAACAGAAGTATTGCCAATGATAGGAGCAGGTGAGTTTTTGGTCAGAGCTTGTTGGCACGAAGGGCGCGAGGAGACTTCATTCTTTATTGTAGCTATAGGAGAAAGCTGTTGCTGATACGTCTGATGCTGGGGTGGTTGGGGTTTGCTTGGGCGCCAGTTAATCTTAACAGTAGGTACAACCTCCGACGGACAAAGGTCACCGTGTGGAGGTGAGGGAGCATCAGGTGCAGTTCTGCACACGGACTGGGAGAGATTGTTAGGATGCTGTTGAAAGCCAGCTGGCCTCTCCAGATTTTCACCTCGCGGAGGAAGAGGTCCAGGGTGCTCTTTAATGACAGCTGATTCATAAACTGGAGTATTCTGAGAGTTCATATCCATTGAAGTTCTAGCAGAGGAGTTTGATGGAAGGGATGTTATGACAGGTACTGCTCCTGAGGGCACTGCACCTCCTGGTTGTTGAGAACTGAACTGAACATGTGTAGTTCTTGGGCTGGCTTCCTCAAACAAACATGCCATTCGAGATGGAGCAGAACCCGGCGACGAAGAACCGAAGTTTCGACCAGGTCCAGGAGATACTCGAACGGATGGGGCTTTTTGTTGGAAGTCAGAGACACCAGTTTCTATAGGTCCTCCTGACTCAGACGGGCCTCTAAAACGTGGTCCCAGATTTCTTGGAGGTTGACGACTGGCTGGGTTACCTGCAGGGGAGCCTGGAAGTCGATTAATTTCCAGCTTGCTGATTGAGTGAGGCTGGGGTAAGACCTTCTCTAAGGGTAGGCTGCCTTGAAGAAGTTGGGTGACAAGAGGGTTGTTGGCCTCTACAGAGGAAACTGGTCGAGATGAACCTTGGAATCTTCTGCCAACTGGAGGACCAGCAGAATTTAAAACAAAATCTTCTCCAGGACCTCTGCTCAGAGGTTTGGTGTCATCCTCTGTTGAAACAAACAGCTTCACACCATTGCCATTATCATTCAGCCGTAGAGGTCTGCTTTGGTCCCTCTCTGCCTGTGTCAGGTAAGCTTGCACTTGGGCTTGTGAGGGCGCAGTGGTAATCTGTTCCTGAGCACGGTTTATAGCATGGGTATGAATTGTATGCTGCTTGTGGGAATGAATGACTGGCTGGTTTGGCACACCATTAGGGAAGCGAGCCTGAATGACAGTTTGGGTATGGTTGGGGTTAGATATATGGGCCTGTATGACTGGCTGCTGGTGCTGAGGAGGATTCAACATTGATGAAGTGAGTCGACTTGAGGTCTGAATGACAGGATGATTCTGTGACTTTGTATTCTGAGCATGCATGCCGTTAATATCCATCTGGGTTCCATGCCAATCCACGGTTTCATCCTCCTGAGTTTCATTTTCAAAGTCAGATGCTGTCTCTGTTGAATCACTGTGCACTCCAGTGTCTTCCTCGCCAGCATTACTAGGTAGACAAGGTAGAGAGCCTGATTCATATTTGCCATCAGCATCACTCTCTCCATTCCTATGTTCTTGTAGCATCCCCTCTCTCATGGAATGCTCTTCACTACTTTCTACCCATCCATTTCGGGCTGTAACAAGTGTCTCTTTGGGTATTTTCAAGTCTGAGCCATGCTGGATAACTCCAGTTGTCCCTGGGTGAAGCTCACCACCATTCTTTTCACCTTCCCAGGGTTGAGAAGCTGCCAAGGTCCTGATGACATCCACACCCTGGGCACCAAATCTTGGCAGCGAGTCTGGTATAGAGGTGGGCACTAAAGAAATGGCATCATTTGATGCTGAGGTGCAAATAGGAGTAGTCGTTCTACTCTCACTGGACTCTGGCTCCTCACCTCTGGGGTCTTGGTGACTACAAAAAGACTCTGGATCACTTGGCGTAGGCACTGGGGTGTCTAAGGTCTGCTCCGAGGCTTTATCACTTGGGCAGGCAGTCATCTCTTCCTCTCCACAAATCTCCTCCACCTGGTCCTGGGAAGCAGGGCTGTCGGTTGCAGGTGGCGATAGCGTGAGTGTTTTCGGAGACTCTGATGGGGGTAGAGATGGGTTTGAAGACACAGAGGAGGGAGATGGTTCAGTCAGTGAGGGAGATGGTTCAGTCAGTGGGGTAGAGGTTTGAGGCCTGTCAGCTGAATCTACACTGGACAGCTGTAGTTGTGTTCCAGACGAATGAGAGCTCGCAGGCGATTCCTGCTCCTCCAAATCAACTCTTCCTCCTCGTCTTCCTCCTCCTCCTCCTGGTTCAACGGGACCTGGGTGCTCTCTCGAACGCCTCCCGCTGGAGCGATCCGGTATCCCAGTACCACCCCCCGGGCCGCTCCCCCCAGGCCCTCCCCCATCCCCAGAGGCTGCAACAGCAGCAGCGGCTTCTCGCTGGGCACGGGCTTGCTGTGCACGGGCCTTGATGTCCGCCAGTGTGCGCGCCCCTGTCCCAGAGCGCCGCGACCCTTCGTTGGGGGGGACGATGCGGGGACAGATTTGGTACGTTGGCGGCCCCTTGACCCAGGGCGGTTTGATCCGGGAGAGCTGTATCTAGTGGAGTGGGTAGAAGAGAAACACGCATACGAGATAAGGTTTACACTCATGGAGATAGTTTTCAACTACATAGAGGTTTACAATAGACTAATAAGAAAAAATAACATGTCCAACATACCCGGATTGGCGGGACCTTGGGCTCTTCGGTTGTAGGTTGTGGCTTTTCTGAGTGCACACAGTCAACTGTGTTACGAAAGGACTGACGCTCATCCAGCCGCGCCCTTTTCTCGGGAAAGCTGGTGAAGGCCTGGGACTCGTCTGGCCTTCTCTTCTGCTCCTTGAGCTGAATTGCTGGACTTGATGTGGCGGGACTGGCTGCGGGGCTGCTCTCCCTGCTGCTTGCGCCAGTGCCTGCTGTGCCAGTGGTAATGACTGAAGCCCCATCATCCAGCGGATCGGTGGCAACAGCAGCAGTGGAGGAGGAAGAGGAAGAAGAGGAGTCTGAGCTTGCGGCAAAAGTCTGTCTGTCTGAGGCAGAGGAGGGAGAGGAAGAAGGTGACGATGACGACGACGTTGAAGAGGAGGAAGAGGAAGGAGAGGAGGTAGATGCAACAGCTGGTTCAGGTACTTCAGGCAACAGGCCTGTGG